CAGCGAGATGAAACGCATCTTTCTATTGCTTTCTCTCTATTACAAATGATGCCTGGAACAAAGAAGGGGAAAACTTAAAATGTGATCTTTAAAACGATAAACACAGTCCAGTATGATTTGAGTTCTTTATTCCAGTTTTTGGAGAATCAAGCTGGGATCACACAGCCCCACTCCTGCCTTTAAGGATATGCTCTTTGCTTTCCAGTCCTCCATCTCTGTCTCCGACGGCTCTCTTCCATCCCATGTTTCCCATTCTTCTCCATGTTTTACCTTTTTTCAGCTTTAAGGCTCCCCTGTCCTGCTGTTCCCTCTTCTTGTGGCCAAGAAGGCCAATGGCATCCTGTCTTGTGCCAGCAGTAGTGCAGGCAGCAGGAGCAGGAGGGGTTCATCCTGCTGTATTGACACAGGTGATGCTGTACCTCGAGTGCTGCTCTCAGTGTTGGTCCCCTGGCTACAAGCCATTCATCTGGGGAGTTAAAAAGACCGTTTGTGAGGCTGTGCAGCAGTAGGTGAGGCTGAAACTTAGAGATTTGCACTTTGTAGCAGCAGAAGAGACTTTTAGCATCACTCTGACAGCACCCAGAAAGCCAGGTGGGATTGGGGTCCCCAATTACCCCTTCTGTGCACATTCATTGAGATTGCTGTGTCTTGCTTTGAAAGAACACTCCATTGTAGTGAGTGGAGAGTGGGAATTTAGGATGTAGAGATCCGTGGAAGGTTGGGCAGGTGCTGGGTGATGCAGAAAGCAAAGCCTTGAGCTCATCCTTCACAGCATTGGTACCACTGCTCCAGGGGAAGCAGGCTGTTTATTTAAAGGGGGTGGAGGGAAGGAAGGAAGAAAAGAAGGAAGGAAGGAAGGAAGGAAGGAAGGAAGGAAGGAAGGAAGGAAGGAAGGAAGGAAGGAAGGAAGGAAGGAAGGAAAAGAAGTGTGTTTTAAGAAAGGGTGAATGGTTGCTGTGATTCATCTTTTCTGTTCAAGAGTGGAAAAGCAGAGGGTGGGGTGGGGGAATAATGCTCAGTGACACATCAAAGCCTTCACTCCAGCTTTGGAGACACATGCAGGGGATTAGTCACCCCGTGGTAGCACAGCACCACAAGCAGCAGCTCCTGTCCCGCGATGGCCAATTCTGCTGTTACACAGCCTGCTGCAAAGCCAGAAGTTGGGGATGACGGGAATCGGTGCTGCGAAAGCACTCTGCAGTTGGACCAGCCTGATCCCAGCGGGCCAAACCAGAGCTCTCCTCCCCCTTTGTCAGCTTTCTCTGCTTTGCGAAAGGATGGAGTGAGATGGCAGACACTGCACAGGGATGGAGGGAGAGGCCAGACGGCTCACAAACCCGCTGCTCCAGCAATGTAAAGGAGCAGCAGGAGGGGACAGGGAGCGAGGGAGCGGCAAGCTTGTCTTCCAGCACAGCTGAGCTATTCTCATGGCTCTCTGCCACCCTTTCCTTTTGCACTTGCTCTTGTCTAACCCTACTGGGAGCTGCTTCGCCGAGCTCAGCACAAACCACCACCACTTGTTACATTACAAAGCTCCTGCTGCCTTTTTTTTTCCCCCCTCCCACTGCCGATCGCCTGAACGAGATCTCCTCATTTTTACAATCCTACAGCCCAAACCCAACCTTCCTCCAATCCCTATGCAAGGCAGCAGCTCCCGGGGCACAAACCCCTCCTGCCTTTCTGAGGGCACCTCCAGCCAACCCTTCTGCTCGCCGATAGTTCCCCATTCCCAGCAAACCCAGCTCCTCCTTGGCAGAGCCCGAGACATGACGTCAGGGTGTTTTTCTGCAGCGCTCACAGGATGCCGCAGCCGGCCAAGAGCTGTGTTTATGTTGATAACATTACAAGTATTTCCTCCCTGTTTCCGAATCAGCAGGGAGGGAGCAGAGGGGGGGAAGGGAGGCTCGAGTTGCTCCGGCGTTGGGGTAGGGCTTTGGAGGCCCTTTTTTTTTAGTGTTAGGAACTGGGCACGGTGAACCGCTGGCATTTGTTTTGGGCTGCCCTGGGGGATTGGGAGGATGTAGAGAGCAGAGGCTGGGACAGAGCTGGTCCTGCCTTGGGGATTTCGTACTTGCTCACTCCTCCAGATCCATTTTTACAGTGATAAAGCAGCTGATGGCCAGGAACAGGAGCAGCTCCAGGGGTTTTGTTTGATGAGCTGGTAATGCCCTAGGGGCTGCCTGGGCTCTTTTTGCTTTTCATATTCACAGCCTTGTCATAAAGCCATAAAAACTGTTAGAATCATCAAATCATAGAATGGTTTGAGTTGGAAGGGATCTTTAAAAGCCATCTGGTCCCACTCCCTGCAGTGAACAAGGACACCCACTGCTCCATCAGTGCTCAGAGCCTTGTCCTGCATTACCTCCAGGGATGGGGCACCCACCACCTCTCTGCTTAGAGCTTACCCAGGCCTATCTGCATTTTGCTTTCTTTATAAAACCAGGCCAAAGCTCAGGAAAATGCAATTATTTGGTGCCATTTCCCCCTCATGTGATGTTAGAGGTAATACCATGAGGGCTGGAAGGGCAGGCAGTATCTCACTGCTGATGTCACTCCACTCAGCAGAGCATCACTCATCTTGTGGGTGAAAAAAACCCATCTGGGCTTTTCCAGCAAGAGCCCTGGGCTGGTCCTGGAATCACAGAATTATTAAGATTGGAAAAGAGCTCTACAATCCCCAACCCCAACCCATCCCCACCACATCCCTCAGTGCCACATCTCCATGGTTCATTAACACCTCCAGGGATGGGGACTCTTCCACCTCCCTGTGCAGTCCGTGCCACTGCCTGACCACTCATTGTGAAATGTTTCCTAATATCCAGCCTTTCCTCCCAGCCTCTCCCTGTCTGTCTCCATGAAGCAGGAGATGGCACAGATTGCCATTCATGGGGATTCTCACCAGCAAGAGCCAGCTCGCATCATTCAAACTCTTAAGAAGGGTTTGGAAGAGATTAAGATCTGTTTCTCCAAGAATGGGTTCACTGTGGGATATGCGGAGCCCATGTGAATCATAGAATCATAGAATGGCCTGGGTTGAAAAGGACCACAATGCTCCTCCAGTTCCAACCCCCTGCTATGTGCAGGGTCACCAACCAGCAGACCAGGCTGCCCAGAGCCACA